ATGCCATAATGGCTTGTCTTTATTGAAAAATTAAAATAAATCTACAATATTTTACAAACTTTCACAAAGTGACTAACTTATTTTTATACAAAAATACTTTAAATCATATTTTGGAAACAATATTATACTCTTCTAATAGATTGATAATAACCTCTATCTACCAGGATTATTGTTAATAGTTTGTTACTATTGATTGCCCCAAAACCAATAAATTGCTAAGTTAAAAAAGGGAAAAAAAGAAAAATGATTGGGAAAAAAGGATAATTAAAGACTTAACAAAAAAATCTAAAAACAAAAACAACATTTTTTCAAAATAGATCTGTCTAATTAGAATAGTTTTCTTGCTTAACTTGAGCCTTAGAAGAAATCTTTTTTTTTACTACCTACAATATTGAACAAATCAATTTAACTAATCTTTCATTTAAGTGAGTACCGGATTGGAATATCACAAGAAAAGCATTTAAACCTTAGCTTTTTTTCATTAAAGCTTTGTTATCACTTGAAAAACTTAGATAAGAGACAGAAGTTTGTAATCTACATTACCCATCACTGACCTGTGGGTCTATAGCGCAGTGGTAGTGTTCCCAGGTCTCCATATACTGCTTTTGAGTTCAATACCACTGTGAGGCAGTACCACCTAAGCCTAGGTGGTATAGAAAGATCACATCTGTCCCATGATGATAATCACTGTCACCTCTGGCCAAGATCCTATCTGATCATGGGATAATCAAAAGATCACAAGATGCTTCAGCCGGTTTTAGTGCTGAAGTCACCTCGTCACAAGGCAGGTTCTAACAAGCTCCTACAGATAAATCGAAGATCTGCATGCCATTAAGAAGGGACTAACGGAGCTTAGGCACATTAGTTAGAAGAAAGTCTCTACCAAAATCACAATCCATCCAAAACTCCACGTGGTTACTCCATAGGTAGGCTGTAATAGGTCATATAAAAAGGATCACTGGTGGGACGAGATGATATCTAAGACTTCACGTGAATATTTCGTAAGCATACTATAATAGGTATTATAAAAAGAATACCCAGCAGGATGAAATATGAAAGGGATCCTATATTACAGACCTAGGGGCCTGTCGAGCATTATTTGTGAAGGTTTCTGAAGGGTAATACAGATGCAGGTAGTAGGGTAGTAGGGTTTCTTCTGGCAATAAGCCACATTGGCAGACTAACAACCTGAAAATGAGTCCGCATTAGTCTACACTGCAACAGACATCAAGTTTGTGTCATATTCTCCTTAAATGTATATAGCCAGGTGCGTACTATATATAGCTGGAACTCCTTGTCACATGTGTAATTTCAATGTATAAGACTAAGCCTTGTTATTTCCTTAATAAATAAAAAAATTACCCATCATTTGGTCTTTTGGTATCATAGAAATCTTCATTAAAGAACTTGAGCTTTTGAGGATAAACGTTTTTGAAACTTTCTTTTCAAATATTAATGATATCATTAGAATACATGAATGTAATCAATAGAAGCTTGTTTACATTTCAAAAACTAATATATTTCATATCAACCAATCACCTTTGGTGAGTATTTGTACTACTCAAATTCAGGGTCAAACTAAGATAGGTAAAATTTCTTAGAAAACAGTAAAAATAGAAACTTTAAGAGGGTTAAAACAGTTAAAAAGAAAGAAAATAAGCCTTTTTACTATAGAAAATCTTTATAAACCTTTCGCTTCAAAGGTTAGAAAGATCTTTAAATACTTTATAGTCAGTTCTTCTTTCTTTAGAAACTTTTTTGCTATTGGTATCAAAGATGTTATTTGACTTTTCTTGATCACTAGGTGTCAAGTTTTTGAATGAAAAGATTTATAAACAAAAGGGAAAGATAGAGGTGACTCTTGAAGTTATACTTCAAGTTGTTTTAAGGAAAGTATTAAGACTTTATTAGCAAAGAAGTGTAAAAACTTCTTGCAAACATTTTTTTTATATATAGTTAGAGAATTTATACTTGATCTTTAATTATTTAGATTATTATCAATAGTTTATGACCAATAATTATTTTAAAAAACAATAAATTATTAAAATAATTAAAAAAGAAAAAAACAATAATATAAAACATTCCTAAAGATTTTTAATTCATTTTCAAAACTTTTTCTTAAAAGGAAAATAATTAATTAAAATATTCTTTAATTTAAAAAATATTTGAAAATTTTATCTCTTTATTGATACTGAATATAGATTTGTTTATTATATTACTAATATTGATATTATATTATAAAAATTTTTATTTGATTAGGATAAAAAAGTCTCTTTAAAAACTTTGTTTAATTTAAATTTATTATTTAAAAAACTTATTCAAAAAGAAGTATTATTTTATATTGTTTATTATAGTTATATGAGTATGATCAATAAGAGCTTGTTTATATTTTATAAACTAATATATTCTATATTAATCAATTATCTTTGATAATAATTGTGCTATTTAAAAATTTAGAATCAAATTGAGATATAGTAGGCAAAATTTTTCAGAAAACCATAAAAATAAAAGTTTTAAAAGAATCAAAAGACAGTTAAAAAAAGAGAAAATAAGTTTTTCTGCTATAAATATAATATGCTTCAAAGATTAAATGATTTTTTTGAGAAGAACTTTCTTGCTGTTGATATTAAAGATGTCACTAGACTTGTTTTTAGTTATCAAAAGTCAAGTTCTTAAGTTAAAAAAAATTATAAACAAGTATAAAGAAAGTATTAAGACTTTACTAACAAAGAAGTAATAATACTTTTTTAAATATCTTTTTGTATATGATTAGAAATGGTTTTTAAAGCAAACCATAATAATATAATTATAAATTAAAACAATATACGGTATATAATAAATAGATATTTTATGAAATTTGATTAAATATTAATGGAGATATAAATATTTTCAATTCAGGATAGAGCCAAGAGATAATCTAAATTATTTAAAATAAAAAGAGTCGCCAGAAAATTCTTAGATATTATCTTAAAAATAACTATCCACATATTATACATACGGCATCTGCAAACAATAAAGCTATAATACAGTATATTGAATAGTTGTTTATTAAATCGTAACACATTTTATATTAAAAAAAAAAAAAAAATTATTTTTAAAGATAAAAAATATACCGTGTATATAAAAATATATGGTTGGTTTTCATTTTTGAGTTTTTAACCCATGTGATACAGAGAAATATATAAATATACCATACGAATTCACCGGTTCAAACTTGGATATCCCTGTTTTCCTAGCGAGACCAACACGCCCAAGGAGAATCAATATTAGAAGTGGATGAGATTATTAATTAGAGATATGCAACGTAATGATTAAGCTTATGTTTCAAAACGAGTTGCCAATAAACCCGACCGCCTGTACAGTACATACCTTGTGCCATATCCAGTTGCACAAAAAAAAAACCATCCTACTTAAAAGAAGGTTTAAATGCATGCATGGTTAATCAACTGTCATTTGAGGACAATTGACGTGGAAACTTTGAATTCCTCAGAAGGATCTTTTTCAAATTTTCGGGAGGAAGGAAAGAGATGTTGAAACAGAGAAAAAAAAAATAAAAAATAAAAACTCGCGCGCGTAAGGAAGCTTATTGCGTATTTATTCTTATTATAAATCTTAGGATTTTGAATTATATGGGGTCAGTCTTAAATAATCTTTACATATATTACGTAGCTTTGTCAACAGGTGACGCTACAGTTAGACAAACTTTTGTCGTACGTAAAAAAAGCAGATACATCATGATCGGAACATCTTTTACATCCATAAAGTTTTTTTTTTTTTTAAAAAAAAAAAAGTTCTTTTTTTACTGGGTAAATTATGTTGTCGACAAAAAAAAAAAATTTTTTTTTTTCATTATGTAGGAAATGTCTCGGTTTAGAATCTTAGATAATAATTGTGTGTATAAAAATGATAGAAGAGCTTCTCTCGGAAGAAAGTCTACAACGGGATAATAAATTATTGGATGTCCCCACGATTATTTTTTCTATAATCAAATCAACTTTACAGCATCCGTGGCATCAAACATTGATTGTTCCTGGCGGTCCAGCTTTTGGTTTCTTTACATAAAGTCCCTTAGAATAAGAAAAACATAGACGCGAATCACGATTTTTTTCTAAAAAAAAAAAAAAAACAAACAAAACAAAAAAACTACATAATTTATGTTTTTTGGATTATCGCACAAAGGATAACCAAATACGCGAAAGAAAAGATGTATATCGACCATTTAACTACGTAATTACAAGAGATTAATGATTATAAAGATTTGTACAAGAATTTGTTCGTGAAAGAAAAAAGAGGATTATTGCAAACGGAGAAAATCTCCGTTGCAAAAATACCACGAAAAAAGTAGTAGTACTCCAGCGATGAATCAAAAAAAAAGAAATTTTTTGACTCTCGTATGAAGAAAATAAATTTCGACACATGATACCCAAAGAGGTTGGCATCATTAGTGTACGATGATAAGAAAAAAAGAAAGCGTAAAAAAAAAAAAAAAAAGAGAGAGAGTTTAAACCTATGTACAAGGATTTTTTAAAAAAAAAAAAATTTTTTTTTTTTGCAAATATAAATATCTATCTAAAAAAGAATGCAATCATGAAAATCCGGTCAATCCCCAATTTCTCTTAGTTGGAGCAAATTCCCAGGCCACTAAAACTACTGTTGCCGACGAAATAGCCCGTCGTCGCGCTCTCGTGACGGTTGGAGCCGACATTCGAAGAATTTGAGGGATGTGAATAGTTGCCGGGAGGAGTGGCGCCAACACTAGGTATCCTATCGCAGGTAATGGTGTCCGAGTTCATTTCAGCATCCGCTTCCTGTTGTGCAGGAGAATGGAAAGGGGAGGTGGTGGGGGAAGGTTGTATGGCCGGCGTGTGAACATCGTCGGCGTAGAGTATCGAGATACTCGAGTTCGACGACGAATGATGATGAGGTGACCTGACCACGGGAGATTCCGAAAACTTCTTGATCGGGGACGAGGTGTGACCGATGCCAACCGTCGTCGTGGAAGGGGGGGTGGCCGGGTGCGGCGATGCCAATGAAAATCGGGTGAAATTATTGTTGCTCAAATTATGATGCCAAGTGCCGTGTTGTGAGGAATCGGGCTGATTGTTGCTATTATTGTTATCGCTATTATTGAACCAATCCTCGTCGTTGCTAATTCCTTGAACTTTCCCTAGAAAGGGAATGAAATTGAATTCGTCGGGGGAATGGACCGAGGTTCCTTCGCTACCGACCAAAGGAGAAGTGACATTTGTAAAGTGGTCATGGTCCACGTCCGGAGACTTGTGCGGAGTGGCACCGCACAGGGGAGAGTCGGTACCGTTGTGCGGGCTCGGGAAGGGAGTACTGATCTGGGATAGGTGGGCGATGTCAAATCCACCCGAGTTTGCGGCCGGAGACACGTGAAGGGCGGCGGCGGCGGCACCCCCATATGACAAGTTCTGAAATGAATTCGTATTAGAGAGTTTTAAGATTTCGTACAGGTTATTATCAACGTCAACGGGAGAAGCAGCAGTAATGGTGGTGGGGGGAAGGGGAATGGTGAAAGATGACGAGGGAAGGGAGCGACAATTCACGGAAAGTATCGAAGATGTCGAAGATTTAATGACGGAAGTCGATGACGCAGAAGAAATATTATTGTTGGTGATGTGGTGATGGTGGTGGTTGTCAAAGTTGTTACCAACCTTACTCCCGTTCACCAAGGCAAACATCTCCTGATTGTCGGTTGTAGCAGCAGAAGACCAGGCCTCCATCACGGACACTCGATGGGAGCTGCAAGTGTTTGCGTAATCCTGTAACACCTGCAGGGCCGTCATTTGAGAATGCTTCCGAAATAAGTGTACGATCTTTTCGTAATGTTCTTCGGCCACTCGACCATGCGCCTCGTTTCCCACCACCTTGTTCAACGCATGAATCATCCCGGCTTGCAACAAACACCAAATGGAACAGTTAAGAAATCCCCTGAAAGGAGAAGAATGGTTATGTAGTATTAGAGAACCGATCGGTGTGACCTTTTTGGCGGCCTGCACGCATTTCGACAGGGAACTCTGATTGAGGATGTATCTTCGATGAAGCAGGATGATGAAGGAATGATATAACATGTGTAGATGCAGCATCGTTGTGGAACAATTGTTGGAGCTCTCGAGGGAGGATTCTGTGGCTTGACGGGGAGCCTGCAGAATCATGAACCATGCGTGAATTTGATCCTCGAAACCTGTGATAATTTCGTGGTTTATGAATGCATTCGATATCCTTGAAGAAAAATTGTGTTTCAACAATTGATGAAGCAGACGGGTGAACTTTATTTGACAAACAAATTCCCTGAAAGCATCATTGATCTTCAATTCCGGTTCGTCCACCAAATCGTCCTCATCAGGTTCCGAAATTGTGCACTCGTCATCCTCGAGATGACTGAATTTTCCAATTCCGCAGCTGACCAAAACGTCTACCATGAATAACGACCACCACAATCTTTTCCTCAATTCCTTGTGAGAACGATCCATATTAGGATCGTCGATATCCCTATTTAAATCCAATTCCAGGGCCATACGAATGGCGATTCCAATGTACATCCACCTACGAAAATAACCAGCCGAAATTCCGGAACGCCTGGTGTTGTGTTGTTGATAGATCGACATCAGAATGAGAGCGGCAATCGTGGACATCCTGGGAGCGTCCATGAAAGTATCGATCAAGCCACGAGCCCTATCAAAAAATATCCACCCACCATTCTCACGGGTTTCGGGATCACTTCTTATGGAAGGACGATCAGAAAACTCTGAGGCGATGGCGAACATTGCATTGAGCAATAAGGGGGACGGAGGATCATGCGAGTCCTCAAATTTTCGTAAGAAGGTTGATTTGTTGAGAACGGGAATGTAGGGATGGATGTTTATCCAATAGAGGGATAGCAAATGCTCAACGGTGTCCTTATCTGGAATTAGAAAAGTTCGGTCTTCGATTGACGGTAACTTTGGTTCCGGTTTCGAAATTGGGTTGCCTTGGAAAGCGGATACCGCTGGAGAATTGAAGAGGGAGGGGGAAAGCGAGAATGAGAATTCGGGAAACAACATTATTTTTCCAAGGTAAGAAGAATCAAGAAGAAAATAGTATGCAATATTACTCTGAGAAGTGCAGTCGTTGTTGTTGTTACTGTGATCAAGGCTGTTGTGGGTGGTGGTGGCGGTGGCGGTAAGAGTGGAGAAAATCGAAGGATTCGTGTTGCGTCGACGAGCGGGAGGCAAGTTCTGGGATTCCGAAGAATCCTCTTCAATTGATCGTTTTCCGTGAACGCTTTTTCTGTCGTGGGGGATGGTCTTTATGAAGTTTGCGGAGGATTGCTGCTCGCCAGCCGGAGGGCTAGCGGGTTTGATGGAATTCCTTCCCCTAACCGACTTTTCTATCTTCACGTAATTACAATCGGTGGCATATTTCTTGCAGTTTGAACACGGGCTTCGCCCGTCGCAGCGTATCTTCCGCTGACGACAGAAGGAACAGGCCATCTGAACACGCTGACGTTTGATGAACAACGGATCATCGATCCATACGACCGTGGAATAACTCATTGTTTGTGTTAACTAGTGGGAAAGGTGATGGAAATGTGTTAGCATTCAGTCGTAACTCCTCTGTGGAGGATGATTTCACTCAAGAATTATTGTTGATGCGGGTGAATCAGGTTAACCTCCGACGATTGTAAAGCAGATAGATGATTGAGACTTACGGTAAGAGAGAACGAAAGAGAGCAGAAAAAAAAAAAAAAAAAAAAAATGAAATAAAAATAAAATAAAATAGAATAGAATAGAATAAATAGGAGGTAAGAAATGAGGAGACCTGTGATTGATTGATTGTTGATATTTGTTGTGTGCGATTTGTTTATATAGAAAATTATTGAACCGATTTTTTTTTTTTTTTTTTTTTTTTTTTTTAATGATAATCGGGAGATATATATACTGTATATACTAGGAAAAAAAAAAAAAAAAAAGTAGAGAGGTATCCAGAAAGATAATAGAGAAGAGACGTGATTGGAATAAACAAAAAAAGAGGAGACGAGCACCTTACATATATAGCATATACATAGTATATTTATTATGTATATTTATACGTGTTAAGTGTGTGAACAATATATACTAAATGGTGATAATGAATGTAATAACAGTATATATTACATGTATGTATATAGATAACACTAGTTTTTTTTTTCTTTGTCTCGTAAGGAAGTCAGTCAACGGTTTGTTTGTTTTTTGTTACTTGTGTGTGTCGATGATGAAGACGAAAAGGTGCCTTATTCAATTAGGTCTTTTGATCAGACCAACTTGGAACGGATGTCAACAGCTTGTGAGTGGAAATTTGTGGAAAGGTATTTATATATATGCATTTTTTTTTTTTTATCTGTGATCCATAGCTCAAAAATCTATTTTTTTTTAGAGGATAAAGACTTGAAAATGAGGAGATTGACACAGGTTCTCGGTCAGGTTGCACTGTATATGAAGTAAAAAAAATGTTACAATAACACTATTAACTTTGCCGAAGATTGATTATATTATTTATTCTATTGAGTTGTGACTTACTTTATAAAAAACTTCCCGTCAGTATTGTGTAAAATAACATTATTTGTAATATTAACGAGATCAAATATACTCAACTAGTGTGCAACCGTCCATCTATTCATTAAAAAAAAAAAAAAAAAAAAAAAGGTTTGTTTTTTCCAGATTTACATTCACCATTCATTTTTGTAAAACACGTCACCACCATCCACCCCCATTCATCGATTAAAAAAGCACGAGGCTTGACCAGAAGTGGCTCATGCCGCGTGGCCAAGAATTCTTTAATTATACACCGTGTCCACGCTAATTATAACCTCGACGAAACAAACCCACCCCCCTTAACTCCCCGATGATGATTGGAAAAAAAGTGATAATCGTACCCCTTTTCTCATCAAATCTCCATCCGACGTTTATTCGCTGGATGTAACCATCTTCCGGGTGCCATGTCGCCTCTTTCCACCATTGCTAACAGTGCGCAAGATTATACGGCATACGTGTGTGTGCGTGCGTGCGTGCGTGCGTGTGGGTACACGCCATCAATAGTTCAACATTAAAAAATGCAGGCACCATTGAAATTAAGTTCGAATCTCGCCGTCTTCACGCACTCATACTAAATCTCATCAAATCTTAACTGTACGTGGCGTTGATATGATTCTATAATTTTAGGTAACCAAACACGCATACACACATTTGATTAATACCACACCATATGAGATTATTAGCAAGTGTGGCTGTGAACAAATTTTACCAATAAAAGCGTTGAAAAAGATTTTCCATGCACACATCAATCAGCTACATGTTAGGAAAATAAATAAATAAACCAATTTCTGTGCAATAAAACAAAGGAAAATTTGGTTCAACGGGGTGCGTAAAGGTCTTCGGTAGCGTTGGTGGTATTATTCTATTGGTTTTTCATTTCCTCTTTTTTTTTGTTCGAACTTCGCATCGTGATACAAAGCACGAATGCATGTACTCATGTTATGGTAACAATGTTTTATCTATCCGTCATCAACAGTTATTCGCATGATCTCCTTCCAAGAAACGCGTATTCAAGAAAAGGTTGAAGAAGCAAAAGGGTGGACGGTCGTGAGCATCCATTGGCCAAGACTCATCACGTCGGCGTTCATTGGACCGCCTAAAACTCGGCCCATTTAACGAGTTGTAACACGGAATTAGTCCCCGCGCTTCAGGTTTGATCCGTGTGCGTGTCCTCCGACAACCTTGATGTCAAAAAAAGCAAGGAAATGTGTACCATCAACTGCCTCACTAATCAAATAGCGGATTTCTTATACAGGCATGGTGCGAATGGGAACGCGCATGTTACATCTTATCATTGTAACAATGCGACGCCCCACCTACAAAGTGTCTTACAAATCGAGATAACTTTTCAATCCATCTTCTAAGGCGGGCGAACCAATGAGATACCGTGGATAATGGAAATTAATCGTGATTCGGAAATTCCAAAATATAAAATTATACGTATTCGCCTACCACCTTTGTCCCGCCAATTGCCAAAACCGTCCAGTCCAATCTTCATTGCATTGCACAGACTCCATTTCTACTTTGGTCACATGCCATCATCCGGACACGTGACAAACAACGGAATTCCACATAATTTGCCAAGAAAGCTTGGTTCGAGAAACAGAAAAAAAGGAAGCAGATGGAATTGTTGAAGACTATGTTGCCGTTAATTTGTCCATTGTGTGTTAATTAATAGTCTTGTGGTTCTTTTTTATTTTTTCCCTCCTGGTGATTCCCAAGATGAGGCCATATGAGCATCCCTCCACTGATCCTCATCACAAATTACTATAAACTATAAACAAGTTAATGTATTACCATTGTCACCCATGTGGGCTTTTCTTTAAATATACATTAACTATGTTCCTATATGATTCAATAATGGTGGCTTACGAACAAACAGTTGTTGTCCTTGATATTATTATCCTTGATATTATTTATTCTTTATATACAGTATATGCAATATTATTTATTCTTTGTATATGCAATATTATTTATTCTTTATATATGCAAGATTATTTATCCTTGATACATGCAATATTATTTATCCTTTATATATACAATATTATAATATTATTTATCCTTTATACATACAATATTATTATTATTATTATTTTACTATCATCATTATATTGTATTTTTACTATTGATCTCTAATTTCACGAAGGTGAAAACTCGTTTGGAACCCAACCAATTGACATTCGCTATAGGCGGTTAGCGGTTATTCTTGTTATTAACAGGATTACCGATATGTACATCGCGAGCGGTTGGTATATCAAGATCATCGGACGGATTCCGATGAAACGAGTATAAACAACTGACACAGCAAAATCTATGGGCCTCGAATGTTAGAAGTCGAATAAGGTAAGGTATCATCACCATGTGAGGCCAAAACTTTTGGATTTTCTTTGTTTCCCTCCGTAATGGAGTTCGCGGTGGTGGGTCATCTTCCCGGCGTGTAGTGGTCTGGATGAACTTTTTTGTAACTTCTTAAAATAAGCGAAGCTGCTGCGAAATTCAAATTTTGCCACATTCGAGATCAGCGTGGTAGCACAAATCTGAAGATTCAAAAAAAAAAATTTTTTTTTTTTAATTTACAATTCGAATGCAATTAGCATATCAGTATAATAAATATCTCATTTTTGAATTCTATTTATAAATTTTTGGAAATCACGTATCGTATCAGATGAAAAATTATTAATTAATTGCTGCGTCGTAGAGCACAGATAACAATCAATAACAAATCCCGTATGCTAAATATAAAATTTTTACGTTATGTAATGAATGACACATCCGTCCGGTTAAGTAATCTAATCATGGAAATTAGCAGTTGAGCTGAACGTAA